TCCCCCCCCCCCCCCTATCAATCCAACCCCTGGCTTCCATCCCTCATCCCCCTCTGTCAATCCCTGCACTGGCTTCCATCCCCCACCCCCCTCTACCAATCCCTGCACTTGCTTCCATCCTCTTCAAATGACCTCCTGCTTTCCAGCTCCCTCGTCAACTCCTCCCATGCTCGCCTCCGGGACGTCACTAGAGTCTCCCCCATCCTCTGGAACTCTTTACCCCAACCTGTCCGTCTATCTCCCACACTGACTGCCTTTAGGCGATCCCTTAAGACTTATCTCTTCAGGGAAGCCGATCCCACCTCAACCTAACAACTGAACCATCACGTTCTCATACAATCATCACCGCGCAGCTCCCTCCTCATGTATCACTGGCCCCTCCCCTTTTAGAGTGTAAGCCCTCGGGGGCAGGGCCCTCCTTACCATCTTGTATTGTATTGCATTGTGATTGTAATGTCTTCCCTATAGTGTACAGCGCTGCGCACACTGTTGGCGCCATATAAATCCTGCATAATAATAATACTTTGTAACTTTTCTAAATGAACCTTCAAACCCTTTCCCCGTGAGCAGCGGTTGTTGCTTTCCTTATTGCAGTAATAGGTTGGGGGCGTTCCCTATGAAACCACAAACTATAATAAGGAAGACCGGCTGCAATAGGTGAACATTGTTGTTGTTGGATAAAGCATTGAGTCCGACCAGCGTCGCTCCATTCTGATAACATCTTTCCGTTTTCTCCTTCCAGACAGGACCACACCGTTCATGGGAAGAGGATCCCTCTGTGTGACACCCCCGCCCTGGAGCTGTAAGGTGGGTCTATCCAACGCCATATCTTATACAATCCTGCAAAGGTATATAACTATGTCAGCAGACGCGGAAAGCCTCAACCAGCCGATCTGCATAGTTCTGCGTGTTTCCATCTGCGAGTGTTCATGAGGAGCCGGCCGATCAGCTTTGTGCAACAGAGGAGCGTCATGTGACTCATAAGGGAAAGTCAGATGTGTTAGATATGAACGGAACGAGTCTGGGAGGTTGTAGAGGATCTACAAGTGGAGGCTGCCATTGGTGGCCTCTGTTGCTGCTCGCCTGGCTTTCATTCTGCTTCACCAGCCTATGGGAACCAAGCATGCTGCAAGTGAATTCACTGGCTCCAGGCCAATGGCGTCATTATTTACATCCTGCTTAGTGATGCTCCCGGTGGGGGGGCGGAGTGATTTGTGCAAAACTGATTTCCCCGACAAATTTCTGGTTTCTCTGTTGGCGAAAGGCTGTGTAGTTTTTTGTTTTTT